AAGAAACTCAATTTCACTTTCAATTTCTTTACCAAGTTTTCGATGTGGATTTTAAAAGACAGATGCGAATCAACCAAGATACCCAAGTATTTGTAAGAGTCGACAAACTCAATAGGGGTACCATTTGAAGAAAAAAATCGAGGAAAGAACTGCTGGGACCGACTTCCTGTTTGAAAACAACATCCCTTTGGTTTTGCCAGTGTTTAGTACAAGTTTGAGACAGAACAGATCAGACTGCATGATGTCAAAAGCAAGCAGTTTGCAATAGCTGGAAAACCTTATCAACTGTTTTAGCTTGACAGTAAACAACCGTATCGTCAGCATAGAAATGTAAGGATGCATCAGGGATGATCTGACCTACATTACCTATTAGGGGTGTAAATCACCAGCATGACCACAATACAATATTATATTGATTTGTTTGTATGACAACACAATTTTTCTCGATATCACAAAGTCTGTCACGATAAAATTTCGATTCTATTCAATACACAAGTCTGCGATCGACATTGCGATATCAAATGCCCATCTCATTTACATATAAATACATTTACAAAAACAATTAAAATATGATTTAGCCATTTTATTTCTGTTATTACAGGCACCAGGCATTATTTTTTTCTTAATTAATGAAAAAATAAAAATAAATAACCTGGTCTCACATTTCTCATGTTTAAGTGCTTTTTTTTTTTAAACCAGTTAACTTAAATGTGCCCTGATTACCTTTCAGTTATAAAGAAACAAAAATAGATATTGAGCTTGTATGGCTATCAATGCTGAGTTTCTTCTTCAGGTGAACGGCCAAATTAGTTGTTTCCCGACTATTTTAACTCACACTGGCACCTGTTGCATATGACGTGAATTTTTTCTGTTGAGCCATCCTTCTGTTGGAATCCAAAATATTTCCACAGTGTTGATTTAAATCCAGCAGGAGAGTGAATTTCATTATCTGTATTTTCTGCCTCGTCTGCCATGTTGTTGAGGTGGCCGCAGAGTCTTTCTGCACAGAAATGGTGACACAGACGTGCTTTGGGAATTTCAAAATAAAAGCATATTTTAAAGTTGATGATATGAATCAATGTTTTAGTTTTGCCACAATATAATTTAATCATTAATCATTTAAACGATATATCGATGTAAATCGATGTACTGTTACACCCCTATTACCTATGCAGATTGTGAAGAGGGTGGATCCTAAGATTAAGCCTTGTGGTACATCATTGTTAACCGTTAAATAAGTGGACAAAGTACCATTGTGTTGAACACAATGCCTCTGATCAGAGAGAAAGTTAGTGAACCAACCAATGGTGTGATCTGAGAAACCAATTTCTGAGAGCTTATGACATAAGATACTGTGGTCCACAGTGTCAAAAGCTTTAGACGGGTCTAAATAAAGTGCAGCACAAACATCCTTAGCATCCAGTGCTTCAACGACATTGTTAAAAACCTTGAGCGAAGCAGTCATTGTTCTGTGTTGTTTCCTGAAACCTTATTAGAAATCACACTTTTTAAAAATCTGATGACAGCAGGTGAAAATGAAATGAGCTGCAGCGTTTAGGAGGCAGACAAGAGCACTCTTGCAAAGCTGATTATTTTTAATGATTCATTATTTTTAATTATTATTGTTATTGTCAAATCTCCTGTTTTGGTGGTTGGTAGAAGCATAAGTCAAAATTGAAACTATAATTGCACAGCTCTAGTCACAAAAATAAGGTACAATTGACAACTGACAGAACATCATAACTGCTCAGACTAGCCCTTTAAATGTTGAAGCTTATTTTTTAGTACGTAGTTCGTCAACATGAATATGATTTATGAACAAGTTCTAGGATACTTTTATTGGTTATATTTGTTATAAATACAAAATAAACAAGCAGGATGCCAATGTCCCTCTTGCCAAGGGATTTGAATATTAACAATAGTGATGAATAGTGATTAGTGTTTGTAGTTTTCAAGAAAAAAAAAATTCTGGACTTGAATTGAACATATAATGCAAGTAAAACTTAATGTTTTTGGTGCAAAACATTAAATTGGGTAGAAGTTACACGGTGGAGACTGGAGACAAACAAGGAGGTTTTTATTTTATTTTATTTTATTCTTGTTTTGCCTGTCTGAGGTGGCACAGAGGGATGGATCCTGGCAAGTTTTTGGTTCTAACTCAAGTTTGGTTTGAGTTCCATCTGAATTTCTAGGTTTTTTTTTTTGTTTTTTTTTTTTTTTCTTGTTTTAGTTTGTTCTTGGCACCACAGTGGCTCATTTGGTAAAGCTGCTGCCTCTCAGTGAGAAGGTTGCCGGTTCAAATCTCTTGTCCGTGACCTTTCTGGGTGGAGTTTGCATGTTCTCACTGTGCATGCGTGGATTTTCTCTGGGTACTCCAGTTTCCTCCCACAGACCAAAAACATGTATGCTAGACTGAGTGGTAACTCTAAATTGTCCCTAGGTGTGAGTGATACAGTGAATAGTTGTTTGTCTCGTTTGTCTCTGTGTCCCTGTGATGGACTTGCGACCTGTCCAGGGTGTACCCCGCCCCTCGTACAGTGATTGCTGGACATGGGCACCGGTGACCCCCGTGACCCAAAATGGAAGAAACGGGTAAAGATAACGAACGGATGGATGGACTTTATGTGCCGTCAGGGGGTTTTCTAACGTTTTCGTCTATCTAAACACATTTGGGAACTCGTGACAAAGATTATGATAATGTGTTCAGAGGCGTATAATTCACTCACTCTAAACTTTTCTGCAGTAGCAACTCTAGAGTTTTTCTCCAAAGGATTATGTCAAGCCAGAAATCTCTCACTTCAGCAGAAGACTCATTATAAACCAGTCAAATTTAAGAAAAGTTAAAACTTTTCAGAGATAATTAACGTGAAGCAACTGTGAAATCTGACAGAATATGACAACAAAGTAACTCATGCATTGTGTACCTCTACCTCATGCAAAAGTTTCTCTTGGAGAGCAGCTGTGGTCCAATAAAAACAAAATATTAATATTTAGGCATGAAAGATTCTATGATCTTTAAAACACAATAAGTGTTCTCTATCTACAAAGATCATTTGTGCAATAACGTGATTCATGTCTCAGACAAAGATTGTTGTGGAGGGTTACCTAATGTCATGAATTGCTGCAGGATTGCTTGAATTTACAGGTGAAGGCAATTCTAAATGTTCAAACACAACATCGTGAACAAAATATCTAATCTAGTGTACATTTTACAGCCTACAGAAGAAATCTAATCTCTGTTAATTAGAAAACCTAACGTGCTGGTGAAGATTCTCAGTCATCCAGGACATGATGAATTCAAAAAGCGTTCAATACAAAAACAACTGGACTTTATTTGTAACAGAAGACGTTTCGCTCCTCATCCGAGGAGCTTTCTCAATTCAAAGAGCAGAGAGTGAGAGATTCAGGTTATAAGGCTGAGTGAGATAAGACACACATATGTAGATTGGCAATTCACACCTAAACAACATTAACAGTAAGAGTCTTCTGTTCCTCTAATTCACAGACGAGGCCCCTCTGTTCCCATCAGGTGTGAAAACCGGCTGGGAATCTGTTTTAAAGTTGCATTATAGGTTTTTGAAAGTGGAAATCTGAGGCATGCGTCTGTGAAGAGGCTGTTTAGTTTCTCCAATGACCAGACCTCTACATTGGAGGAACTAAACAGCCTCTTCACAGACGCATGGCTCAACACAGGAGAGCCAGCTCCACAGGACAAGACTCAGCTGTTCATCTCCACCTCACAGATAAGGGACACTCTTTTGAGGACCAAAATGTGCACATTTTGGACCGAGAGCACAGATGGTTTGAGAGGGGGGTGAAGGAGGCAATTTATGTAAAAAGAGAAAAGCCGTCTCTTAACAGAGGAGGAGGCCTCAGATTTCCACTTTCAAAAACCTATAATGCAACTTTAAGACTGATTCCCAGCCGGTTTTCACACCTGATGGGAACAGAGGGGCCACGTCTGTGAATTAGAGGAACAAAAGACTCTTACTGTTAATGTTTGTTTAGGTGTGAATTGTCAATCTACATATATGTGTGTGTGTGTCTTATCTCACTCAGCCTTATAACCTGAATCTCTCACTCTCTGCTCTTTGAATTGAGAAAGCTCCTCGGATGAGGAGCGAAACGTCTTCTGTTACAAATAAAGTCCAGTTGTTTTTGTATTGAACGCTTTTTGAATAGAAAACCTAACCCTTTTGAATTTGCATCTTGGTATGTAACCAGTGCAATCCTACCAGAATTAATCCACTCTATTCAACAAACTACAAGATTTACGTATTATTTGCTTCACCAAATTGGTAATGCGGTCTCCAAGTATTTTTTTATGCTGTTCATAATTTCATCTCCATCTTCTACCCCTTATCTGCGGATGGGTTAGAACAGAATAGAATAAAATAGAATAGAATTTAATGTTATTGTCATTGCACGTCACAAGTAGTGACAGTTGTTGGAGACAACAAGTCCAGAAGAGAAACCCAGACCTCCCCCTCCCCAACGACACTCTCCAGCTTCTCCTGGGGGACAATGAGGCATTTTCCATGCCAGAGAAGATACAAAATCCCTACTCAAGTTCTGGGTCTACCATGGAGGCCTTCTTCCCAGTGGGACATGTCTGGAAATCCTCCATTGGGAGGCATCCAAATTAGATATCTAAACCACCTTAACTGACTCCTTTTGATGCAGAGGAGCAGTGGCTCTATTTCAAGCTTCCCCTGGATGACGGAGCTCCTCACCTTATCTCTAAGGCGGAGCCCAACCACCCTATGAAGGAAGCTCATGTCAGCTGCTTGTAGCCGGGATCATGTCGTTTTGGTCATGATCCAAACTCATTTCCGTAGTCCTGTTCACCATGACCAAATGAAGCAACGCCCTCATTACTTAGTACCAGGCCCCGATTGGTTGGTACCATCATTCATGACGTTCAAATACCTGAACTTCTAAATAAAGTTTATTTGTGCTGCTTAAGTTAATTTTTATCCGTCTCTCTGTTTTCTGTCCAGATGGTACAAATGTTCTCCTCCTGTGTTCTGGGTTCAGCTGATGACATGGACTTGGACGAGTTATTTGCCACCAAATTGGTGACATTCATGATGGAGCACCACAACACCATCTTTCAAGTGAACACCAAACTGCGCTGCCAGGTCGAGGAGCATCTGTCACACCTTAAAAGAGCTCAGGTCAGTGATCGTTCAACAGTTACAATCCAATACAATGAAGAAATGTCAGATGAGTCATTCATTCAACCTTTATTTAGATGGAAAAGTCACATTGAGCCTAGAAGACTCATTTACAAGGGAGGTCTGTTTAGACAGACAAAAAAGTAGTGAAACTGGACACATGAAGGAATTGGAAACGAAAAAATTCCTATCAGACTCTTCTTGGCTGAGAAGAAAAACCCTAATGTTAAAAAACACAGCGCACAAACAAGCACATAGTGACATAGACATTCCGCAGAGGGGGGAGACGACGAGAGTGGTGAGCAATGTCCTAGGATGCTCTCGAGGGCGATGTAAGAGTTCTGATAATGATGGAATAATCAGTCAGTGTCTTCCGGTGAGATCCGTAATTCCCCACATCTGAAGGATGTCGGGGAATGGCCAAGGATAACACCTATGGGAATCCAAGAAGTCCTGACATGATGACACAATGTTTATTCAGCTGGTTTCCTCTGGTTATCAGTTGGAAATTCCTCGGGTTCTGTTAAAGATTTTTTCAAAAATTTTTAATGAGTTTGTTATTTTTAGTCCGCTGGCATCTCTGACACTGATGCTGCGCCCCCAGCAAATTACAAGTACAGAAGATGTCATCAGAAGCTCTGTTCAGTTTATGTATTTAGCACCAATCCACACTAAAAGTCATCTTAGGGCCTTGTACAAAAACATTCAGCGTTCCTAGCGACTCTGGGAATCAAGAGAAAACCTGGAAAATGACTTTCACATTTTCCAAACAAGGAAAACTCAGGGAATTTTGATTTTATGAAATGCTGTGAACCCTGACATACACATAGATTATAAAATGCTAATCAGTAAAACAATTATTATGTAAGAAACCAGTAGATTGCATCAAATCTTCACTTCATTACAATCTCCCATCATGGGCATCGCTTTGGTGACAGTGAAAAGGAACAGCTCCCTTTTAACAGGAAAAACTATCAGCATAATGGAGCACCACAACACTGTCTGGTAAACTAATAAAATATCTGGAACATTCATGCATCAATCATTACCTTCTGCTTGATCTGGAGTCCAGTCTTGTGGGCAGCAGCTTGAGCAGGGAGGTCCAGACATTTCTTTCCACAGCCACCTCTTCCAGCTCTTCTGGGAGGATTCTGAGGCGTTGCCAGGCCAGCCGAGAGACGTAGTCTCTCCGGCGTGTTTTAGGTCTTTCATGGGTCTTCTACCAATTGAACATACCCAATAAATCCAGCCACCTCAACTAGCTCCTCTGGATGTGGAAAAGCAGCAGCTCTACTACCCGTCTCATGAACAACAACTTCTCAGCTATACTACAGAGATAACTTGTGATTGCTTGCATCTGCAATCTTGTTCTTTCGGTCACTACCCAGAGTTAGTGATCATAAGTGAGTGTCGGAACGTAGACCGTTCAGTAAAGGGAGAGCAAGAGATATTCAAGAAGCATCCACCACAGTCCACATCAAGGAACTTGTTATACGGTCACAAAAATAAGAATCCATCCATCCATTCATCCATTATCTTCAGTTTGTTCCGAAGTTGGGTCGCGGGGGCAGCAGCTTGAGCAGGGAGGCCCAGACATTTCTTTCCATAGCCACCTCTTCCAGCTCTTCTGGGAGGTCCCCAAGGCATTCCCCGGCCAACCGAGGGACATAGTCTGTCCAGTGTGTCCTGGGTCTTCCTTGGGATCTCCTCCCAGTTGGACATGCCCAGAGCACCTTCCTAGGGAGGCACCCAGGAAGCAGCCTTACCAGGTGCCCGAACCACCTCAACTGGCTCCTCTCAATGTGGAGGAGCAGCAATTCTACTCTGAGTCTCTTCCAGATAACTGAACTTCTCACCCTATCTCTAAGGGAGAGTTCAGCCACCCTGTGGAGGAAACTCATTTCAACCGCCTGTATCCATAATCTCATTCTTCCAATCATTACCCAGAGTCTGTGACCATAGATGAGTGTAGGAATGTAGACTGACCGGTAAACAGAGCGCTTTCCCTTACATCTCAGCTCCCTCCTAAGAACAGTCCATTTACAGTCAATTATGGACAATTGCCTTCTACAAGTCTACAAAACAGACACAGATTGGTTGGGCAAACTCCCATGATCCCTTAAGGGTCCCAGCAAGGGTAGATCTGTAACGTCTTGTGAAATTTCTCAGAAAATATTGTCTGCTCATCTACTTCCTTTAAATGGCGTTCATGTTGAGCTGCCAGTCCATTATTTTGTTAGGTACACATCCAAATATTTGTACCTCTCTACAATCTCTACTTCATCACCCAGAATGTTGATAGGCTTGGTAGGAGACCTGAAGTAGAGAAGTCGCTGCAGTGGAGGTTGGAGTAGAAAGGCGGTTGTGAACAGTAGCATCCATCAAGGTAGGAAGAGGGCAGGATTAATTAGTTAGACTGAAGAGCTGTTGAGGCTGGTGTAGTGGGAGCATGGGGTCCAACAGGGGGTCGAGTGCTACATCTGTTGAACAACTAATTCAGCTGATGAGCTTTAGAGTTGAAATATGTAATCTTCCTCATCCCACCCACATCTTTGCTGATCTCTTAAAAATTTGCCTTCAGTTTCTGCTTGAATGAGTCCCTACACTGCTCAGTCCTTCTATTTGTAAATGTTTTAACTCGTCTTTGTTGTCAGATCAGAAGGCCCTCTTTTTCTGCATCAGATTGAACTCCAGCTCCTTCAAGTTGGATGGGTGCTGCTTGTATACAGCAATCTTTAATCAAAACAGTCATTCTCAAATGGATTTTTGCATGCGTCATTCTAGGACTTTAAAGTTATTCTTCTTAAACCAGTGGAGTGTTGCTTCAGCAATGTGTTAAGGATCAGTGTCCTGTCAGAAGGTAAATTTTGTCCCAGTCTCAAAAAGATAAACATTTGTTCCATCTATCTTTCCTTCAACTCTGACCAGTTTTTCACTCCCTTGCAATTAAAAATAGCACCAGCATGATGCTTCCACCACCGTGCTTCACTGTGGAGATGGTGTTTTTAACATGGTATGTGCTGAATTGGAGCTTTGTGCTTCGCAAAAAATACTGTTGGCCTTGATGGACAAAATGTTTAATAGACTTGTCTCATATGATCGCAGCACATTCTTCTACTCGTTTTGGGAATAAATCTCAGTCTCTTTATTTATTTATTTATTTATTATTTTACTTAAAGAGATGCTTTTTTGCCAGCCACTCTTCTACAAAGCCAAGCTCTATGTAGTCTATACAGGTCCTATTCAGATTCTCTTATCTCTGTGGAAGAGCTGCCCAGCTCCATCAGGGTTTGTTTTAGACTGTTGATTGAATAATGCCCTCCTTGCATAATCAGTGAGTGTTCAAGGACTACAGTCTCTTGGCAGATTTGCTGTGCTGGTATAATTCTGTCATTACCTAATAATGGATTTATTGTCACAAGGGATGCTTAGAGTTTTTGATATTATTATACTCTAACTGATATCCTGATGCATGCTCAATAATCCAGGTAGAAAAATCAAAAAAAGTTCAATCTGGTCCTCTGGACATTCAAAAAACAAAACAAAGCAAAAAAATGTAGATACCTTTCGTCTCTCATCCGAAAGACTTCCTCAGTCTGAGGTGCTGTATTTAGCTCAGTCTCTTAAATAGCACCTTCTCAGAGTGGATCAACCAGTTTGCTGCTGACAACCAAAACCAGCTGCTCACATGGTCAAGAAGGACCATCAGCCCAACAGTGGATCATTAGCACACTGATGGCTGTTTACTATTCACTGGAGGCTGAGTGATACTAGCAATCACAGCATTGTAAGAGGGGGACAGTTGAACCCGGAGGCCTCCACCCCTGTTTAATGATGGACGATTTCTTTTCTCTACTCTTTCTTTACTCTTAAGCCCCCAGTATACTGCCGCGTACATCCATACGCAGAAGTACGCACGTACGTACGCAGAGGTACGAGCGTACCCCCCAGGGCATGTCCGTGCTAAGCTCAAGTTTTTACGACCGCATACGCGTACGCGGTGTCGCACAATAAACTGCCCAGCGACGGACTGTTTTGTATGCGACCCCAATGTATTAAATTCCCCTTTATCATCTCTGATCTGGCCTTTTCTTTTGTTTTTTTGCCAAGAGGCAAGTGATCTCTTCCTCCTCCGTTGATGCCATGACTGAAATGGTGAGAAATGAAGGAATTTGTCACAAACAAATTAAACTCAGGTCCAGCATGGCTGCGGGAGGGTCTGGAGATTTCCTGGTGGGCTGGTCTGATGTGTGGGCTGTAGAGCAGCGCTCCCTGTTTTTATTTATTTATTTTTTTTAGATCTTTTTATTAACAACAACATATAAACACAGAACACCGCTGCGGCTGAGGCTGCCAGCGCTCTGTTTTTTTTCCCCCTGACCTGTCAATCAATCCAGTAGGCGTGTCAGCAAATGACCAATCGGCGACCTCAATTTGTCCCGAAGGTAAACGCCCCTTGTCTGTGAAGCTGCTCTGCAGCTGCTCAGGGTGTACGCTGGAGTTTAATGACTGAACCCTCTGCGTACAGTACATGCGTGCGTACACGTGAACGGACGTACGCGGCAGTATACTGGAGGCTTAACTGATGTATACTTCCCCACAACTTTGTCTCTGGCCTGTAAGTACCTCATGTTTGGTCTGCATTTTGTCTCCTGCTTGGAGGTAGCTTGGTATTTCTTAGAGGTGCTGATTCTGGAGACACAAAAATAGCTATGGCTCAGGTAATTATACAAATATTGAACTAAAATTTGATGTGGTATTGGCTTGCATTTTCTTCCAACACATACTCTCAGTACTAACAAATCATACAAGATTTATTTATTTATTGTTTTTATTTTAACATGCAGTGTGGTGGGTGATCAGAATCAGAATAAGCTTTATTATTATTGCACCTAGATTCAACGAGAACATGTACGTACAATCGTTCGAAAGATGGACATAGTGCACAAAGTGCGATAGATGAAGCTTTTATCCCTGGTTACTCGTGACCCAGGAGAAAT